AAAAAAACTGTGATATATTTTCATTATGGAATATTATAAGCAGTCAGAACAAAAGAACCACAGTAAGTAAACCTTAGCCATAGAACATTAAGTTAAAAAAAGTTAAGTACCCAAGAAGCTATCTACAGCACAATACTATTTTTATACGCTAAAAATGACTAAAATTTTTTAATGCATAATTTTAGGAATAAATATAGATGCAATAAAACTACAAGAAAAGCAAGTCAAGGAAATGATCAACACAAGATTCAGGATGACAGTTAACAGTCAGAGGAAGGGGTTGAGATGGGAAGATCATGGGGTTACACGCAGGTTATTGACAAGGCCCTAGGGTTGTTCTGGGGGAGGAGGGGCAGGATTAGAAGGCATTTATTATATTGTTAAAAATAACTCAGTTAATAAATAAAAGTGGGTTTTACTTAGACCAATGATGAGACAGAGACATGAGGTCCAAAAGTAATAATTAAATAATAATTTTTGTAATTCTCGGGTGATTCTGATGATCACCCAGATTTAAAAACTTCACTGCCCCTAAGATATCAGAGCATTTGAGGGCTTCCTTTATGTCTAGAAAGCACTTTGTATATATTATTTCAAATCCTTAAAATAACCTATAAGACAGGTAGGCATTATTTAGAGATGAACAAACCAAGGATTGGAGACATTAAGAAACTTGCTTGAAACCACAACACTGGTGAGGACCAAAGTTGGGATTCAAATCCAGGTTCTGCTGTTTTCACCTCACCCCCTGGCTCCTAGCAGCCAGAGATGCCACCCTAGGAGAGAGCTCTCAGGAGGTCTGGGCTTCGAGGGCCCCAGAGACGAGCCACCAGGAGACTTTATTTGGGAACTAACCCCTCACCCTTTTAGGCTGCGCCACATATCTCCAAACAAGAGAGAGCCCGCCTGCCTTTCCTGGTCACTCTCCAGGGGAGGTGTGCATGCACCCTGGTGACAGGGCCAGCTACCTCCCTCATTCTATTCCTTATCAACTCAGAAAAGATCCACCCCCACAACACTGAGTCCAATTCCCTCCCTTACAGACCTTCCACAGCAGGAGTAACTTGGACAGACAGAGGTACGGCTATAGTTGAAACCATAGTGGCCAGAGGCTCCCATCTTCTCGACAGCTGAGTGACAGCAGCAACATCAGACGTGGCAGAGGGGGACTCTTTTCCTTCCTTAGCCTCGCCATCTTCTCTGGTAACCTCGAGGGTAGAAACCTGCTGCTCTTGTGTCACTGATGATAAAGTGGCTTCTGCTTCTTGAACAGCTGTTGTCATCTCTTGAGTGATGATGTCTTAAAAGGGGGGAAACAACATTGTAAAATAGACCAAATCTGTATATCTTAGAACGTCACTATACAACTAATAAATTGACAAAAAACAAACCAGATAGCTATTTCAGGGATAAATAAATGTTTTCAGTACAGCATGGTGACTATAGTTAATAATACTGTATTGCATATTTGAAAGTTGCTGCAAGAGTAGATCTTAAAAGTTCTCATCACAAGAAAAAAAATTTGTAACTATGTGTGGTGATGGATGTTAATTAGACTTATTGTGGTGATCATTTCTCAATATTTACACATATCCAGTCATTATGTCATACACCTGAAACTAATATAATGTTATCTGTCGACTGCACTTCAATACAAAAAAAAATGTTTTCAGTGTTGTTGCTTTCAGGAGCAGTGAATCAATTTAAGACAGAGATAAAGAAGTTAACATAAAAAGCATAAATAAAATCCAAAACAAAGTAGGAAGATCAAGAGCTGAGTTCCCTTTTAGGTACATCTGAACATCAACATAATCAGTTTGTTAAGAAACAAATCAGGGCTGGCCCCGAGGCTTAGCGGTTGAGTACGCGCGCTCCGCTGCTGGCGGCCCGGGTTCGGTTCCGGGGCACCGACACACCGCTTCTCCGGCCATGCTGAGGCCTCGTCCCACATACAGCAACTAGAAGGATGTGCAGCTATGACATACAACTATCTACTGGGGCTTTGGGGGGAAAATAAAGAAAATAAAATCTTTAAAAAAAAAAAGAAAGAAACAAATTATACAGAACCAAGTTAGGCTCAAATATTCTCAGAAGCATTTGTACACATGAATTTTCACGTTTGCATTTCTGAAGTGGAATGGGAAGTTAGCATTTTTAAGGACTAATAATTACAATAACTAATATTTACTGAGTTTCTAGTATATGCCATACATACACACTGGTAAGTGCATAGTGGGCATGATCTTATTTTATCCACCCCTTTGTACTAAGGGGAGGTAGGGTAGGTACTAATGTCATTCTATTGAAGCTGTATATCATAGTGGTCAAAAATGCAGGCTCTAGAGCCAGTTTGCCTGGGTCTGAATTCTGACTCAGCCACTTACTAGCTGTGTGACCTTGAACAAATTACTCAACATCTCTGGGCGTTGCGTTTCTTCAGCTGTAAAATGGAAATAATAACAGTACCTATCTCATAGAGTTGTTACAATTGAATCAGATGACACGTGTAAAACACTCAGTACATGCCCAGTACTTTTTAAGTATTTAATAAATATCAGCTATTATTACCCCATTTTACAGAACAACTTTGGCTTAGAGAAGCTAAGCAACCTGCCTAAGGTTACATAGTGCTCTTAACCACTGTGCGAACTATGCCTGTCAACAATGAGTGGATAAAGAAGATGCAATATATATTTACACAATGGAATTTCTTTTCCCCCCGAAAGCCCCAGTAGATATTTGTATGCCATAGCTGCACTTTCTTCTAGTTGCTGTATGTGGGATGCAGCCTCAGCATGGCCGGAGAAGCAGTGCATCGGTGCGCGCCCAGGATCCAAACCCAGGCCGCCAGCAGCGGAGCACGCACACTTAACCGCTAAGCCACAGGGCCGGCCCTACACAATGGAATATTATTCAGCCATGAAAAGAAGGAAATCCTGTCATTGCCCAAGGAAAAACTTGGAGTGGCCTCTATAGAAGATTTATATTTGCTTTTAGATCATGAAAGAAAATGAAATAGACCTGTGGGGTATGACATATCTACCACAGGTCCACTTTCTTTACAACATTACAATCCTCTCAAATACATTATTAAAGACTATTTATGAGGATCAATATTTGCCCCCTTCTTAGGGAGGGGCTTGCTAGAAATTTCAAATACTGAGCCAATGTTAAAACAATTTCTAGAAGGCTCTATTGTCTCTCTTCTTTAAAATACTAATTCTAGATACATAGCATATTAGCAAGTCCAGTAAGTTATATAATGAAAAATAACATTCTAGGAATAGCTGAAAGGATTTTCTCAAAGTTTTTATTAATAACATCATGGTACTCTCTATTACTTAAAAATATTTTTCCTTGGAAACGATTTATTTGCTTTAAAATAGTGTTTGTACATGTTTCAGTGTAAGCAGTTCCTTTTCTTGGTCCCCATTCAGTTTGGACTATTTTTTCTTCTGAATTAAAGAGACTTTTATGTCTGATGGACTGATACACCGGTTACAGGACAATGTGAGTTAGGGAACAGTTCGCATATGGGCTTCATACTTGCTCTTTATACTATTAAGTTTTTTCTTTCTTTTTTCTTTCTCCAATAAGATTGTAAATCTCTTGAGAGCCAGGATTCATTGTCCTTTTTGTATCTGCAGCACCTAGGACAACGCTCTGTTTGCCATAAAAAGATAATAATATATAGTTTTATCATTTTAAGCAGTATGCATTCTCCATGTTGTCCTCATTTTTGAAAGCATAATGAACACTTTTGAGAATATGTAAAAATAAATGTACAGTCTATGGTCATAGTTTCATTAAACGGCAAGAAATATCAAAATGGCATTGTACTCTGAACAAGTGACCACTGTTAGAGAAAGAGTAGTGAGAACAAGAAGTAGTAATGGGAATTTTAAAATAACATTCAAAATCTCTCCACATCTCTCATTCTTCCTACTTCCTGTAGAGAAAAAAAATGATAATTAGTATAGGTTACTTTTAAAACCTGATCTTCAACTGAATCAGCTGAAGCACAAATTGAACCAGAGGACTGACCATAATCCCAGGACACTCATCTGGTCGTAATGTCCAAAACACCAAGAAATCACTGCAGGTCCTGAAGAAGATAATAGCCAAGTAGTCCCTGGGCTCTGAAATGAATGGCATTTGAGTTGCGTACTTCTGAAAAAATAATCACCAGAAAATGGATAGGAAAACTGTTTGGCTATTCACTAACTAATGTTGTCAATAATCTCAATTTTCACATTCTTTTTAACTCTATGGGACAAAAACATTTAAACCAAAAGCAATTATTTGACTGTTCCTCTCTCTATGAAGAACATTTAGAAGTTTTTTGATGAATTTGGACAATGCAGGAGTCAGATTGGACAATTCCAGTCTGAACGGTTCTCTCTCCTCATTCACTCATCCACTGAACCGGTACTTACTGAGCACCCACTGTGTGCCAGATAGTGTGTTATGCTGGGAATAAAAAGAAGTTGCCTGTTAAAAGACTATAGTTAGGGCCGGCCCCGTGGCTTGGTGGTTAAGTGAGCGCGCTCCACTGCTGGCGACCCGGGTTCGGATCCCGGGCTCGCACCGACGCGCTGCTTCTCCGGCCATGCTGAGGCCGCGTCCCACACACAGCAACTAGAAGGATGTGCAGCTGTGACACACAACTATCTACTGGGGCTTTGGGGGGAAAAAATAAATAAAAATAAAATCTTTAAAAAAAAAAAAAAAAAAATATAGTTAAGTGAGGCAATTAAGACTAAGTAAGGAGCATATTCAATACTGAAAACAATAATCAGACAATTACCAAATTCCTTTTACTTTTTAGGCTATCTTAATCTACCACATAAGAATTATGGATTCAACTGTGCAATGAATAATCTAGAACTACATGCAATGGGTGAATCACACAGAGAGACAGTAGGAGAGAGAATATGACGCAGAAATGAATAATCTAGAACTACAGGAATTAATGCTCCAGGAATAGCTTAAAGTGTTATGGAGAACTGAAGTAAACTTCTTGTTCAGTTGTATCTAATGTCTTCACGATCATGTGGACGCAACTCTCTTAATGAAATTTAAAAACCAACTTACAAAACATTTTCTGAAAGCTTCTATGAAAACTTAGAGTATACTAGGTCTTTCAGTCTTTAAAAAATGAATTGATATATAAAATTCATTCTTTTATCATTTTAATTCAATCTCAATAACACTTTAAAAAATATATTAGGGATTTGATATTTTCCATTAATTAGGCTACTTAGCTAAAGTAACAAGCGTACATATTCCAAAACAATTTGGAACGAGCATATGCAAGTTATGCTAAGTCTTTCCTTCCCCATGCTGTTATCTGACCAACTACACATAAAAAAAAAAACCATCATCCATCAGCAACAAATGTAAGGCTTGTCAGCTCATAACATTCACAGATGTAAAGGCCAAGAGGAAATACAAAGTGCAGAATCAAGCCAGCAGACGATTTATCTGTATTGGGTTGTTTTCTTTTCCTCACTTCTAGATAAGTTTCTTTTTGGGAAAACAAAGTCAAAGAACTCATATGGTTAATACTATGAGATAAATATTTACCTAAAGCTTTTTGGTAAGAAATATTAGGGATGTGAATATTTTTTACAACAACGTGTAAATAAATATCCTACATTGTTTATTATACCATTTAACATATGGCTAATTCTTTCACATCTTCCTGTATATTTATACATTTTCATAATAAAATGTTTGAAAAATATTCATCTATATCAGAGTTTCTCAGCACTATTAACATTTTGGCTCAGAGCTTTGTTGTTGGGGGTCTGCCCCATGCACTGTAGGATGTTTAGCAGCACCCTTGGCTTCTACTCACTAGATGCCAGTAGCATCCCTCCATTGTGACAACCAAAAATGTCTCCAAACATTGCCAAATGATGGGGGGAGAAGGGGACAAACTGTTCCCAGTTGAATACCACTAGTCTATATGCAGGGGTTATACTTGGGTATAATTTTTATATAAAATATATATTTTGTTTACTTTTGCTTTTCATTAAAACTTAGATAACCTACTTCTAAACTGTCACTTTAAAAAAACAAATCAACACCTAAAACTCGTAATGTTATATATCAATTATATCTCAATTAAAAAAATAATAAAACCAAATTGAAACATTCCAAATTAAACAAAGCTTATCTTTTTCTTTCTTTCTTTCTTTTACCTTTAAATGTATTTCCCAGTGGTCGATAGGCCTCAGATTCATATTCTGAGATAGAAACAGTGGTCTCTAAGAAAAACACGGCATTGTTTTCCTGGTTGGATTCCACGGAGTCTGCAGTATTTTGAAACTGGTTCACAACAGAGACTTCCATATCTTCCATCAGACTTGTGGGAGTGAAGGAACTTTGATCAGTGAAGGAAGATGATCTCTCATCCCCAAGTGCTATTAGCAGCCCTGTCCCCGTGTGTGTTTCCCCTTCAGGCAGTCCCAAGGCCACCTCTGCAGACTCTGTCAAAGGTTTTTCCCTTTCCATACCTCGCATACTGTTATCAGTTACTCGGGATGTCTGAGACGTTTCTATTCTCAGCTGAGTCTCCATACTGTCTCCAAGCTTTGGGGTCTTTATCTGGCTTACACTCTCTAATTTGGTGTCATCCCACTCATCACTTACGACAGAGGCAGCTGGAACTGCTGTGTTGACACTCACAGTGACTTCTGGAGTTTCCAGCAGGCTGTCAGCTTCTGGCTCAACACTCTGCGTGTACCCAGTGGTAGTGAGCCAGTGCTTGGTGGCAGGAGCCTGGGTATTATCAGCTGGCATCTGCGAAGGCTTCTCCCTACCAGGCACGAGGTTCCCAGGCTCAGGGCCTGCTGTGGGCTCAGCACCAGGAAAAGTTGTCCTACGTTCTGTATCTGCTTCAAATGTCTCAGTCCTCGGACTGCTTAGCATTTCTTTAGTATTCACATAGGATGAAGGTGAATGACTAACCCCTTCCTGACTTTCAGTTGCAAACAACTGATTATCCACATACTTCAGGAAACCTTGTGTTACTTCTGTGGTCCCTTCTGCAGTGGGCTGAATGTTGCTACTACTGAAGGGCTCCTCCTGCTCATCAGTATTCAAAGAAGCAGTCGAAGTGATAGGGTTGGTTAACACGGCCTTGGAAAGTCGGCTTTCAGGAGACGTTCTCTCTGGCTGGCTGGAAACAAACACTTCTTCCCCTGCTGGGACCAATGGCTCAGCAGCAGTGTAAACACCAGGGCTATTAGGCCGCATGAACCCAGCTCCTCCAGGATGGGTGTCTTTGTTAATAGGGAATACTTTATTTAACGGCATTGCTGATGGTCCCGCCAACAATATCATTGGCTCTTCGGAGACCGACAGCTGGGGAGTGCTCTTTGAAGTAATGGAGTTATTTTCTAGGTCATCTGTGTTCATCCTCTCAGACTGCCCTTCTTCTGCACGAACATGTGCTATCTCCCTTCTTTCCATTTTGGGGAAGGCTAAACATTGTGTGGCAAAGTTAAGAAGTAGAAGGCTACAGAAAGCCAGACAAATGTGCAATATGATTGGCCTGCTCATAGTGGAAGAGGAATGTGCACATAAAGTGGCAGAGCTGACAATTCCAGTAATTGAGTCCTGCAGAAAAATAAAGCATATCAAACTGTCATATGAATATATTTTGTAAATAAGTCCCTTTAAATTAAACCACAAGTAAAATGATCTTGACTTCATGCTCAGAGTGGTACGTAAGAGAGGGCTGTTCTATTTCTTTGTACCTTTGAGACATGGGTAATCCAGTTCACTTTTCCCTGCTGAATTCTGCAGCTGATTTAACTTGAAGCTATCTAGAAAAAGGTACACATGGTTCAAGTACTAAATTCATTGTTTCTTTTTTTTTTTTTTGTGAGGAAGATCAGCCCTGAGCTAACATCCATGCTAATCCTCCTCTTTTTGCTGAGGAAGACCAGCTCTGAGCTAACATCTATTGCCAATCCTCCTCCTTTTTTTCCCCCAAAGCCCCACTAGATAGTTGTACGTCATAGTTGCACATCCTTCTAGTTGCTGTATGTGGGACGCCGCCTCAGCATGGCCGGACAAGCGGTGCGTCGGCGCGCACCCGGGATCCGAACCCGGGCTGCCAGTAGTGGAGCTCGCGCACTTAACCGCTAAGCCACGGGGCCAGCTCCCATTGTTTCTTAAATACCTACTTGAAATAAACTACCTTTGAAATCATATTTGCAATATTCTCCTTAAATTCCCCTAGTAACAATGCAGTCAAATGACCACAGAAATGGCAACATGTCCAGGATACAGAAAGTAAATCTTACATTTACTTACATTACATTCAAAGAACATTTTAGGTGTGTTTTAAAAACTTATCAGGGCCGGCCCCGCAGCTAAGCGGTTAGGTGCGCGCGCTCCGCTGCTGGTGGCCCGGGTTCGGATCCCGGGCACGCACCGACGCACCGTTTCTCCAGCCATGCTGAGGCCAAGTCCTACATACAGCAACTAGAAGGATGTGCAGCTATGACATACAACTATCTACTGGGGCTTTGGGGGGAAAATAAATAAATAAATAAATAAAATCTTAAAAAAAAAAAACTTGTTAAATATCATCATAAAACACTGGATACCAGTTACATTCAAGAGTTTTTAAAAGTATGTAATTGATTTTCAATTAAAATTTGTCTTTAAAATGCTTAAATTATTTATATTCTCTATAACAACTATAAAAATTATAGGCAAAACCTTCATGTTTCAAAATTTAAGAATTAGAAAATGTAAAAGAGCTCAACAACGTACATAAGTGTATTTTTAGAAAAAAACTTTTGGAGAGAACCAAAACATACTTTTAAATTATCAATTTTTACTGAATACACATTATGGTAAGATTAAGATTCATTGTATTTTTTAAAAAACTACTCATACTCTCATTACAACTAAAACTATATCAAAACTGCTAATTTTCCCCCAAACTTAAGAGTTTTAGTTCTTTTTATCTATTTTGTTGAGTAGGGCCTTCTCTTTTCCCATCATCAGAAATTTCTCAGATGTTGCACATTTTCTGGAAAATTAAACCTAGGAACTCAAATTCTAAAATAAAAACCTTATCTTTATAAAAGTTATACTTTTCCTTTCTTTCATGTCTAATCACTAAACTATCCAGATTAAGCATGTGATGTGCACACATAAAATATAAAAATTTGCATTTTCTTAGGGGCTTCTCCACTTAAGAAGTTCAAAGCTTCCACAAGTTATCTCATTTAGTCTTATAGGTCTTTTTGAGACAGAGAAAGGTCAAGTCCTTGGTCCTAAATGGCTGAAGGGAAAAAGAAGCCTGAATTTTTCTACATGAGGAAAGAGGAACACATCAATTTGGCGCTGAGGCCTCTTGCCAACCACCAGTACCACGTGAATGTATCAACCTGGAAGCAGATCCTCCAGCCCCAGTCAAGCCTTCAGATGATGCAGCCCCAGCTGACATCTTGACTGCAACTTTTTGAGAGACCTTGAGCCAGAACCACCCAGCTAAGCTACTCTCAAATTCCAAACGCACAGAAATGGCATGAAATAATAAACATTTATTGCCACCAAGTTGAGTGTAATTTGTTACACAGAAATCTTGAATCCACAGTACTTTGGGAGAACACCGAAATGGGATGATATCATGAGGTGCTATGTGCAGAAAGGGAACAGCATACCAGGGATCATAAATTTAGCAGGAGAAGAAAATTGAAGCCAGAGGCAACTAGGAGAAATATAAGCTCCTTACCCCCAAGAATCCTCAGAGATAGTGAGAGGATGCTCAATTTCCCCATATGTAGGATGAGGGTTTGAAACAATTTAATATTAAATTATATACAGGTAGCTAGTATTGTTTTAAAAGGATAGAATATGGGAAAGATATCTAAAAAAGAGGGAATAGCATATGCCAAGGCATGTCAACATTCTGTACATTAGTTATCACTATATTTTAGATGAGTCATAAAACATCCCAGCTCATAGCCAGATAACAGATTTGGTAACAGTATTTGACCTGCTGCCTCTATTTTCCTTCCTTAAAAGAAAAACATATGAAGCTACACCTTTGGATTTCTGTGCAGACAAGTTGAACTAGGAAACTCTATACAGTTGAAGATATATAAAAGCTATAGAACTCTCTGGTTCATTGCTGATCTGTTCAGAGAGCTGCCCTTTCCTGAACAAATATTTTTTCCATTCAGTGAAATCCTACTAAACATCCCAGAAGATGGAAGATGTGATTCTAAAAGCTTGATCCCATATTTCTGGATAAAAACCTGAAAAAAACAGGCCATCGTGAGTGGCAGTAGAGTTTAGAAGGACATGGACTGACATCAGACAAATGAGTCCTGAATCCTAGCTTTATTGTTGTTAAAACTTGCCATGGGATACTGGCCAAATGGTCTCAGTTTCTCCTTTGACAAAATGAGGAATTAAACAAAATAATCTTTGAAATTCCTTCTACCTCCATGATTCCATTTTCATATTTTATCTATTATAGGACATAAGAAAATACAAATGTTTTCATATTCCCACAATTTTGCCATCAAGTAGGCAAGGCACCCAAGTGATTGAACGAATGCTTCACATTTTATTTGTATGTTCTTGAGTCATGTGTACTGAGAAGAGAATTTTATGAACAAATCAGATTGTGGGGGGAGGGTAAATGATAAAGATTTAATACAACCTCAATTGCCTTTTCAAAACAGAATTTTCTTTCAAGGTTTTATTTTCATCCAGATCTTGAGCTTTAGAATTTTTTTTGTGAAGGAAATCTTGCCATTGCTCTAAAAGACTTTCCTTCTGTAACCGTCAGCCACCTGCTTTCTAAATCCAATTACAACCAAAAAAGTGGGGGTGAACTGCAAGCCTAATCCACGTCTGTGTATTGCAGCCATATGCTCCTTCTCCCCACTATTCAAAGCGACGCCTGAACTTTAAAAGAAGTGGAAAAGACAGCCTGTAGGAACGGCAGCAGGGAACGTCTGCTACTCAGATAAACCAGTAGATGACCTTCAAGTTCCAGATCTTTCTCCATCTTTCAAAGCACAGTACAGGTCCAATGGCCACTCCCACGAGTTTGCTGTCCCCATTGGAGCTGCAGCAAGTTAGAGAATAAACACGAAAAGACTGACCCTTGTCAATTCAATGACAATATTGCTAAGCCTAAATAACCGTCTGTAATCATATTTTGAGAGCTATAGGCTTTTCTTTTTTGCTCGACATTGTATCCGCTCCCTGGCAAAGTGCCTGGCACAGATGAAATGCTCCCTGAACGCTGGCTGAACACACCGATGAATGTCTACAGCCTGCTTTGCTGGGGCAGGGGGAGGGAGGGAGATTTCACCGCTTATTAGCATTCTATGTCTGAATTATCTTAAATTAACTCAATCATAAGAAGATTTAACCAACAAAAGAACACTTCTCTAACTTTCCCTTCACACCGTGACTTTGGGTGCTGCTTTCTTTCCACTGTATCAGTTAGTGCGACTTAATTCAGATAAATAAACTCTAGGCAAACCGCTGATAGTGGATATTAGCTTCTACTAGCTGAAAAAGCATCCCTTTCGGAGCAAGTCAGTAGCACTTTGTCCGTCACCTGCTATCAAGGTATCCTAATGGCTCGGCAGTCCTCCGAACAATTGACAGCATTTCTGCCACCAGCAGGCAGATAAGCGGCTCTGTCAAGCTTTATTTTTGACAATCTTAAATAGAGACAGTCCAGAATCTGTTTCTTTGTGAAGTCTAGGCATATTCGAGTTTCAAAGACAAATGAAAGACAGTATAAAAAATATAGCCTTTGCTGTCTTATTAGACTTAATAATCAGGTGCTTTTAAACACTTGGTCAATATGTTTCCAACTAAAATGTATACTGCTATTGTTCAGTGTTACCAAAAGGAAACCAGTGTGCTAAAACATTCTCATCAGTGACAAAGCTACTTTTTTCAAAGTAAATTCCATTCCACATATAATATATAAGGAATGGGGCATTGCCCTAAGAGTACCGAAGACACAGGAGGCCTGCAGATGATGCCAAAAAGTTGGGGACAATCTGTCTGATATTTTCCTTTTCTCGGGATAAATACCAATAGCGTCAATAGCTGGTGTTGGGGTTTCAGGAAGAGAGCTGCATAATCGTAGATGTTCACTGTCTACTGGATGTTACGTGTGCCGTGGATGCCACCTCAAACCAGCAGCTGCTTCATCTAAACTCTGGTGGCAGCTTGAACTCTTCTCTCCCTTACATCCCACATTGACAACTTCTGTGAATCGTTCCCTCATAATATCTCTTGGAATTGTCCCTTCTTCTCACCTCACTAGACTGTTATTATTTTCATTGCCTCTTAATTGATGATCCAGTTCAAACTCTCTCCTCTCCAATCCATTTTGTACAATGCAGATGGCTTATTCTTAAGAATAAAAATGACAATAATCAATCAAAAATGGCTACCATTTGGGGATGCTACGTGCCAAGTATTGTAAGAGCCTTATGTAAATTATCTTATTTAATCCTTACAACAACCTGACAAGGTAGGTACTACCATTATCCCCATTTTTTTTATGAGAAAACTACAGGCTTATAGAGGATAACTAACTTGCTTACGTGTGTCTGTTTTTGAACTTGTGAATCCTGTCAGACTTCAAGTTCCCTGCCTTTGCCACTACAACTCGCTGCCTTCCCAAAACACATGATTTAAAGTCCCCAAACATACAACTGCCAAACCCATATCTATAATACACCCCACACCATTAGGGCCCAGGACAAACCCCATCGCCAGTGAGTCTATTGCCCTCTTATGTGCCATACTCATTTTCAGTTCCTAAGTTTTGTTCGTAACACTGCACTCACCAGAACAGAACACTCCCTCCTTCTGCCCCACCCCAGCTATCCAAACCCTGGCCCGCAGGTCACCTCCTGTTTACAAACTGCTGTCACAAAAATGCCGGCCCATTCCCTTCCCACCCTTCTCCCTGCTGCTCTAGCACAAATAGTCATATCTGTAAGTCTTGCCACCTCAATAAGACTATGTTCTTTGCACACCAACTCTGATCTAAAAGCTTTCTTTGTTAGCCATATAATTGCTAATAATGGTAGGCACATGGAGGTGTTCGATGAATATTTGCTGACATGAAGTGAATATAAATAATCACTTAAGAATGTGAAAAAGAATATTCAGAGTCACCATTTTATATTGTAAGATTTTCAATGACACTTCATAGTCTATCCATGTCTAACTGCATGTTTTGTTCATCACCTAGCCAATTTGGGCTGCTTATTCAATGTCATTTTAATAATGGTAATAACTTTTATATTCTCATTTCTGCTATACTTTAGGTTTTCAGGGTTTATTTCATTTAAAAAACTAGATCAACAGTAACAAGTGGCAAGTCTCAGAGCTTCAGGTCGACTTGCTTCCCAATTACCATCTCACCTTTAAAATCCAATTACTGATTCCTCCACTGATGAGGGGGAAAGAAACTCTTTCCCTTCTTTGTTTGTATCTTAATAATCTTTCCATTTTGTGCTTTTCCTGATCCTCAGTGATTAATCTGTCATTGTCTTACCTTTTCTCTTTCTAATCTTAAGGCTTTTATTGCCAATACTATTTCATTTGTCTAAAGCTGAGCTTCTCAAGACTCTGACCCTATTAACCCAGCTGTGACAGCGATCATTCAGGTACCCCATTTCTGATCCACTGTGCTGCTGACAACTGTCACTGGCCTGATATATTGGCTTTAAGATCATCTGGCTCCAGTCATCCTTCACTATCAATTAAGTAGCTGGAATGACAGATGATCCTTTCAGCAGCATGTTCGACCACAGCGGAAGGAGAGAGAATAGAGTAACCACAAAGAAAAGCATGGTCCCCCAGGAGGAAGGTGGCCTCAGTGCTGACAGAGCAATTTGAAGCCTCCACAACATTCTTTTTTCCCCTAGCTATTTCCATCTCCCTTTCAGCTTCTCATGTAGACAAAGTGATCTGGGAGTAATCTGATGTTCAGAAAATCCTGTCCCAATCAACCTCGGTCAACAAGCTCTTGTCCATCCATCCTGTAGTCTTTTTCAATGACCCATTTGACACTTCATTTCTGTTCTTCATGGTTCCCAAACCTCATTTGCTTGACAAGATCTCTAAGTACAGTACTAGCTGGCATCTAAGAGGAAGATAATCCCCAGGTAGACATTTCAAGGAATAAACATAATATCTAACATTTCAAGCTGAAACTTGATTCAGATACTTTTCTTACAAACACCAAGTAAACACAATAGGGAAAAACAGGGTTGACCACACGTCTTAATTAGGGAATAAGTCTTCTTTTCACAGAGATTAAACCCAGGTTCCCTCTCAACAGCCAGCTTCCCTATGTGAGAATAAACAAAATTCAATGAACAAAAATACAACCCATACACAACTTTTCAGGCAAACATCTGCTGAATTAAGAGTGAAGTACACCTTTAGTTGAAAAGTGGAAATTTTCCATAACAGCTAAGCTCATTTTCCTCATTTTGATTCTATGCTTATATTCAGCATCAAACCATTTCTGTAATACCAAACTATGATACGGAAAAGTCTAGCAGGAGACACCAGAATATAACTGTAAGAAGCCTCCCCTGAAGACAAAGACACTTCCACATCTCCCTAATTGGCTCTGTTGCTGTCGCTACCTCGGACTCAGTGAGTCTTGGGAGTTTTGTGAATAAACACAATCAATATCAAGTCTGCAGCATAAGTGCTTGGTTCATTATTATGACAAATACAACTCTACCTTATTCATAAGAGCAAGTCCACTCCCCTTAAATCTCTACTGTGTGTAAAGGTAGCAATGTTCTGATACTGTGAAATCTCACCCTGATTCTGAGTTTCTTTCAATAGATGCTACAGTGGAGTTCTACCGCGAGTGAGCGGAAGTGGTCAGGGACTCTGCAGGAGCTGGGCTGAAACGAGACTCCTTGGAGCCCAACAACATCACTTGTGATCAAGGAAACACACAAAAAGGAGGGGAGCCATGCAAATTCCGACCATACATTTTGCTCCCTATAGAATCTTTCAGAGCTCTATGGGTGGTCTCGTGAACCACTCCCCCTCTCCCTTAAGTTTCTAACTAAAACTTCCAAAGAAAGAAGGCAGACAATTGAAGGCAGCCTCTCTCCTCCCCTCCACATCAGCTCTGAACTGAAAGGAGATGCAAGATCCTGGTGGATCCTCGGGATCAGTTTGGGAAGGCAAAGATTTCTCATCTTTGAGAACTCCAAACTCTTTAGGGTCCCATATTTTGCACGCCCGGCTGCTTCCTCGGCAGCCAGGGCTCTACGTGCTCCGAATCTACACAGGTCGGGTTCTGTCAGTGACCAGGATGCACATGCGACATCTGGGCACCTCCAGGCAGCACCTCCCAACTATTCTGGAGGCTCAGGCAGACCTTGACCTCCTCCGCATCTAAACCGCAGGCCCTCTTTCCAATTAAGTGACCTTTCCAAGGAGCATCCTCCTGCCGTGTGCTAGGGCACCGGTCAGGGTCTGAGCAAGGAGGTTCTGTGACATCTCTGCGCTAAACACTCAACTGTTTGTTTTCTGCAAAGTAGCAGAACGCATTTCGGTGGCCACCGCAGCCCCCATTCGCTCCTCGGCTGCTGGGCACTGATTGGCATCGGTGACAATGAGATCGATGCTTTGAAAGAAGCAAATCGTAGTCTTCGGGAACTTCTCTACCACCGCTGTGAGATTGGGAGGGGAGGGAGAGAAGAAAGAAAAACCCACACAAAAGCAGCCAGCCCTGCAAGCTCCGCCAGCACAAAGGCCCGCTCGCTGGTGCGGAGCCCGGAGGCTGGTTGGAGCGAGGAGCGCAGCGAGTCTTCCAAGGCCTGCGCGCCGTGACCAGCGCGCCCGGAGCGCCCCCGCGCACCCCTCGCCGGGGCACCGCGTTCCGGCGGGGGCGCAGAGCGCACGCCTGGCGCGCGCCGGGCTGCCGCGCTCTCCGGACTTCACCGCTGCCGGGGCGACCCCGCGCCGCCCGGGGCTCCAGCTCCGTCTCTGCCCCGGCGCCCCGTCTGCAGCCGCGGCCGCCCGAGCGACAGCAACCGGGCCGGTTCTCACCTGTTCGCCTTCAGCCAAGCAGCGCGCGGAGGAGAGCGGCGGCGCCCGCTCCCCACATCCCCGCGGCGGCCCCTGCAGCGGCGGCGGCTCCCTCCGCTGTCTGGGACGCCAGGGGGAGGGCACTTCGCTTTGTTGCTTATTCATGAGGCCGCGACCACGGCTGGGGATTGGGCGGCAGGAAGATGTACCCGCCCCGGCCCCGCCGGCGCCGACACCCGATGCTGTCGCTCCACGCCCCTCTGCTCCGGCGCTGGGGCCGAGCCGCGGGGGCGAGTGCGGGCCCTGACCCCTCCGCGGATCCGCTGCCCTGCTGCCGCTCTGCGCAGCCTGGGCTTCTGCGGCAGCTCTCTCAGTGCCTCCTTCGCCTACGGAGAAGAGACTAGGGCACCGTTTTCGCTAGAAGAGCCTGAATTTCTCTGGTCCTTGGTTAGGGCAAGGGGCGCAAGTCGGAGGCTGCAGGATGTTCCTTGTGGAGACTGTACGCTTTAGCCTGACCGCTAAGTAGGACGCCGTAAAGTAGCCCTACAGTGTGTTCCCTTCTCAATCACTCAGAGAAGTTGAAAATAAGTGCTGATAAGAAGCACGATTTATTGAGCCCTTACTCCTGCCAGGCACAGTGCTAGGTGCTTCATGCATTACCTGCTTAATCTACCCAGCAACCCTGAAAGGTAAATATCAACAGGGGAGGAGGTTTAGGCTGAAGGCTGTGTAACTTCCCCAAGGTCTTATGGCTAATATGGCCCCCGAGAATTCGTGACCTCCGTTCTTGAGTCTCTCAAGGACTCGGTTACCTTTTTCTGTTACTCCTAATTGTGGGCAGAAAGAGGTGTCAGGAATCTAAAGGCCCATTCTAGAACAACCCCCACAGCACTTCATATTTGCAACGCACTTTTCACATACGTTACCTCTTGTACGTGGTAACTCCCCTCTTTATAAGAGGGGAGTCCTCTTAGTCCCGTTTTGTAGTTGTTTGTAAACACCTTGAAGTCAGAATAAGGTCTGTTCACCTTTAATTCCCACACCTAACACAATGCACAAGTGTGCACTGTCATCCTACCCATTCTGCCTCCCTTTGGAAGACCTTATCTTTGTATTGCCAGAAAGGTACTCAACAAATAGTTGTGGAGTGGAATGGTATTGAAATGAATTGAACCTATATCTGTTTTCGATGTGTATTCAATGTAATACGTCATACATTGTACTGTGACCAGGCCTTTTACCTAAATTCAGTCCCCACCAGGTGGATAAGCCACACCCAGCCTGACCAAGTTGTGTTTTAACTTTTTATTTTTAAGTCAGTTGTTTGAAACTCAGACTACATCTCATAAAAACAATGTTATACAGTATATGAGTATATGAGTATGCTGACATTCCCAGCTAGACCACAAATTGGGTCTACTTGACCTAAATGCAGATAAATGATAGTACTAATAAAAAACACCCTGATCAATCAGGTTGGACCAGAGAACCAAGCAGAATAGAAGAAGACAGCAGGAGAAAGGATTCCAGCCCCTCATGCATCTAAGGCCAGTCCTACACACAAACTTGAGATATTCCAAGTTTCTTTGACATCTTCCTGCCTCCGGTTATGCATCCCTCTCTAGCATCCTAGTGTTCTCCTTAAATACCCATAATACTCCAAGTCGCAACTACTCCCCAGACCTGGCTTACACTCAAAGTTTTACATTCTCCAAAATTATCCTTCTCCCATAGTAGAATTCCTGTTTACCTTTTCCTCAATACAAATTATTTCAGCTATTCAGTTAAAGTGATCTTATTGGAACTCATTTATACTAGTCCTTTATCCTTCCTGAAATGGTCTGTATTGCTTTAAACAACTCTGATTAACGCAGTTTATCTCAACAGCTGCTGTTGGTACATGGCAGTGATAATAATATCCACTCTTCCACCCCAGCACACACACAAACTGTAAATCAGGGACAGTTGTACTCTAAGAGTCAAATCAGTAAATCCACACACAATGAATGTTAGTAGCCTTTTATGGGTAAAGCAAGAAATTATATGTGTGTGTTAAAAGAGTTTGGGAACACCCAAAACTCCAACCAAGGTAATAAGTAAGGACGCTCAGGAAGGCAATTTGGGGGTTGCCAGATTTAGTGACTAAAAATAGAGGATCTCCAATGAATATTATGATAAAAATTATTTATTGTTTATCTGAGATTCCAATTTAACTTGGCATCCTGCATTTTATCTGGTAACCTTTGCAGTATTAGGTGATTACTTGGTCCTGGTTCGTAAAAGCCTTTGGGTCAGAAAGGAATTGGTCACATGTTGCGAAGAATTGGATAACCAACCCTAAGAGCCAGGAGTGGACAATGTCCTTTCAAATGACACCCAGAGGGGAGAGTCTTGGCAATGCAGACTAGAGCATTACAGTGTCCTTGGTAAGGCTATCATTAAACAACTGGGTAGAAATGCTTCACAGTGTATCCACTAATTCTCTTTATTCTGATTCCCGTACAAGTAACTATCTGTCAGCTTGATTTCCCGTGTATATTGCCCATAGGTGCTGGTGAAATGAGTCCACGTTAGCCGCATTGTGTGTGTCTGTTCATAACAGATCTACTTCCAATGCCCACAAAAATTGGGTTTCTGATCTTGCAAAAGCAAGAACAAGACCCTGAGTGGGGCTGACGTCGCCAAGGTAAGTGCCACCTAGGGGCTCACATAAGAGCTCTTGAAAACCAGCTGGCAGGACTTCCCCAGCCTCTGTACCACTGTGTCCTGAGGATGTTTTTTGTTTTAGTTTGCTGTGTTTTGTTTTGTTTTCATTTGAAATTATACCAGCGACAAGCATGTGAGGCAGTAGAAGAAAACGAAATGAAAGAGGCACTTAAGGAAACATTTCCCTGGAAGGCTGAGTTTACCTGACATCTCCTCAAAACTGTTCTTGTTTGTCAGTTATTTTCCTTCCCTTTATTTTTGAACCCTCTAAAACTCCTTCCTTGGATTTTGTTGTTTTTATAGGCTCCCGAGGCACCCAACAAGAGGTCAGGCCGTGGAAGGGGGACAGGAGCTTCTATGTAGAGTAGGGGTCATTTGCAAATTGGATATACTACACTCCTGTAGTCTTCACTACAAAAGATTGTCTTTCTTTTCTGACCTTCCTAAAAGCTTGTCAACATGAGCTTTTCAGCATCTCCCAATGTTCCCTGCCTCTAATTCTCTGTTGGAGACATCCTGGTTGCTTTTAATTTTTAAGTTGCAAGTCCCAGGAGTAGACTTCAGTGTAAAATAGTATTGCTTAGTATACTCTCCTCATTCTTGGTATTCAATATATTTGATGGTTATGATGATGTAAATAATGGTAATGATGTTAGAATCAGTTTTATTAATTCTGATAGAAGTATTCATTGCTTCCAAAACCCTCAGAACACTTGACATGACCTACTTCAGTGCTACTGAGCTTAGATTTTTTACCTCGCGCTAAATTATGTCTTTAGTATGCAGTTTATTGGGAAGATAAGTAGGTAGAATAAATCCAATAACAAAATAATGGTTTTCCTTAAACAAAGTTTTGGAACAGCAAACTTTTATACTCTGTAGTTGCTTTTAGCTGTTAACACGAGTCCACTATATTTATCTATCTTTATTAACTCTTGTTAAGCAAACACCCAGGTGAACCCTCTTGCTTCTCTGCTTTCCCCAAGAAACCTATTATAACTGTAGAAGCAGAATATTATATTTCCATTCCCTTCTTTTTAAAATCTGTTATTTTTTATATTCTCTCATTAAGTGTTAGATTTCTTTAGGCTCTGAACTTTCTGATTCAGTCCTAACAAAGGGAATGTTGCCTGTTGCCACGAAAAAGCAAGATAAGAGAGGAAAGGGCTACTGATGCAGGTACGAAACAAAATCTCTAAACAGCTTGGCCGTTTAAAAAGAAACTTTTTAGATAAAGTCAAGGGTGAAAAAATTTACAAGAAAGAAATCTTGTCCTTTTTTTTTGTTGTTTTTCTAGCCATAAATAACATCCTTGTGAGACTATCTGTAAAAATTCTTTTTAAGAGATTTGAACATCCAAGTTCTAATGTCTCCTGTGGAATACACTCTTTAATCCTAAATGAATCGGTCATCATGAATAACTATATTCAAAATGGCATCTGTAACTCTAGGAAAGATATGAATTGCCTTTTACTATGTCAGACAAAAGAGTCTTATCTCCATTCTTGTCTCTTTTTTTTACGTGCCTAATGGTAAATAAATCAATGACTTTACTAGATTTCTCATCTTAAATAATAGGCATGAGATATTTATTATTGACATAACGGTATGCATATCTACTGCCTATGTTGCAAAGAAAGATGGTTTACTCTTCTCTGCCTCTACCAAGGATAGAACAATGGCTCTACCAGGAACAGCAAAGCTCAGGCCCAAGGAAGCACTCTTGTCAGGGAAAGCGCTTAGAGACTGGAATAGATTAGTGAAGAGGTTATATTTTCTCTTTTGTTGTAGGTTTCTAAAAAAAGGATGAATTTCAGTCTGCTGGGTTATGTGTTTCTGATGAAACATCGTTAGCTCACTCAACAAGGAAATTATAGGAATAGTTGTAACTGTGGGAAAACTACCAAATATATTTACTGCGGCTAACTGCCTTATTGTTTATTATCCACCTTCCAACAAATGTTGCTTATTTTTACTTTTAAAGAATATGATTCAGCACTACTCAGCTGTAAAAAAAGACAAAATTGTCCCATTTGCAACAACATGGATGGACCTTGAGGGTATTATGTTAAGTGAAATAAGCTAGACAGAGAAAGACAAACACTGTATGATTTCACTCATATGTGGAAGATAAACAAACACACAGACGAAGAGAACAGATTAGTGGTTACCAGAGGGGAAGGGGGTTGGGGGGGCATAAGTGGTAAAGGGGCACATATATATGGTGACAGATAAAAACTAAACTATTGTTGGTTAGCCTGATGCAGTCCATACAGAAATTGATATATAATAATGTAGACCTGAAATTACACTATGTTATATAAACCAATATGACCTCAATAGAATAAAAAATTTAAAAAAAAAGAGTATGATTCAGGTATTAACATCACATTCAGT